CGTTGATGACCGCCCACAAAACAGATGAAATCCTGCTCCGCCTAGTCCCATTGTGAAGTGATCCAAAACTGCATTTTTGAGCTTGATGCTTTGCGTCTTAGTATGTGGATGTCCTATAGATGTCACGAGATTTCTCTCATCTTTCCATATGTGCGCAAGCGTCTATTTTCCTTTGTATTTATGAGGAGGTGCGTTGAACATCTACGCCCTTCACCACAAAAAAGTAGACGGACCAGCAAGCAGAGGACTAATATGAGCGTTTCGATCCATGATACCCTGTTCATGTAAGCAGTTATAGAGCTAAGCAGTGAGGGTAGATTTTCCGGCGCATAATGGAATATGTCTGCCGCACAATGATACATTCAACGGTCAATAAAATTTCGCCTTCTCCTATAGATTACTGAAGTGGCTAGTCTTATCCCCCAAGCCTCGTTGCTAGGCCATGTTTGCTCGCCGCTTGGTCGTCTCCATAAACCTACAACATAGGAACCGGCGAATCAACTTAGTATCAGATTAACCGCATTAGAGAGACTAAACTTGCCATTTGCTCCCGATTAGAATCATTCCATCTCAATCTTCACACTTGCTCGCTGTGACTCCGGCCATTTACCCAACCGCCCAATTTCGCTCATGGCCAGCTATGAGTTGCAGTTAAGTTCATGTCAGCCGGCTTCATCTTTGAACTAGTAGCAACTCACGCAAATTGTTCTCTACAAGTTGAGGAGTTGACCTTTTATTACTTCATCGGATGTTGCCCAATGTTTATGACATTGTCCTCTTTTCGTGTAATTCCTGCTACCCGCAAACCCCCTAGTCGTGCTTCATTCCGACTGTAAATGCATGATCACGCCAGACGGTATGCCACCCACAAGTTGGAAATAAACATTATTATTATAAGCGTCTGCACAAAAGTTTATGTGCGAGGCAGAACATCCTATTGCATGTGAAGCGTACGAACTAAGCAGGGGGACTTATGGAGTGCGACCAGCTGATCTACCGTCTTTCAACTTCCTCGGGAACCATTCATCGTGCCCAGCATTGCTGATGAAATGCATTCAACCAGACCTGCGCCATGCCTCAGAAGCCTCGGCGGCCATGCATGTAGTAGTCGATTATATTCTGCGACACTTCCCTGATCCTTGATGTAGGGCTGATCAAATCGCGGCAGGCGCATAACCTACTTTGGATGAATAGAATGATTTCACGCTAGAAGTTTGCGGGTTTCGCTCCGACACGCTTGATTCAGAATCCAATACTCCTTTGGCTAATACCCCGGGGCCTGGAGGTTGATTTACATGCTAAATGATGGATTTATTGACAAGAATGTTGTTTGGTTTTGATTCTAACCCTTCCTGGAGTAACAATTCATAATCTACAGGCATGATGAGCACGCCAAACCACGTGTGAGAGCGATGTGGATTATGTTTGCATTCCGAATAATCTATGGTCAGTTCTTCAAGGTTGGCAGATGGACTGCAAGTGTGTCTTCTCCATTCAAGGTGATTTCGTCAATGCAGCGTTCAGTGAGCACAGTATTCCATTTTCGCCAGTCCCTAGATAGTTTATGAACAGAATCAAATAACTCCAAAGTAATTTTTACTCGTATGTTTATTTCACTTGATCTTGTTAGCCAGGATGACTATCAGTTGGTTTGTGGTGTCATTTCCTTGCATCTGGTTGGAGTGATGGGTGGCTATGATCCCACAATTTTTCCCCTACCTTATGATTGTACCGTTGCGTTCTTCATTTGTGGTCCGGTTTTGCTCCGCTCTATTGGTTGACTGAATGAACCTCCTTTTCTTGTCTCGCTGCTATTAGTTCAATCGTCATTTTTGAGTTGTTTGTCTTCCCCTTGTGGTTCACAGCCCCAATTCTACAGTTGTTTAGGCCGTCGAATCTCGCGAACTGAGTAGAGGTTTTCGTGTTTACCGTATGGAATGCTCCCGCCCCCGTTTCATTTGAGTTGACAAATATTTATTGGTCATCCGAACTGAAATGTTGCCATTCAGCGACCTTGTGGATCAGAACGAGCGAGTATGGGTCATCTGTTTCGCTGGAGAACTTGTGCTTGTGCATTCTGGTAGCAGGTATTCTTCACTCAGACAAGGTGCTTTTGTCGCAGTCGCATCGCTCTATTTCATAGATCACGTTAACCTAATTGGTCTAATCTAATGTCGCCGACTTTCGTTCTCAGCTTGTATACAGCCTCCAGGCGAGTACATTACATCTACAAGAAAGCAATAAGTGAGTGGCCTGCAAGCAAAAACGGATTACCGTCGCAATTCGCAATTAGCATGCTTGGAAGAAGCCGGGATGTGTGTTAAACTGAGCCTCCACTGGATGTCAGAGTTCCGACGAAATACCGATCAGCTCCGTAGGAGTTGGAATTTCCAGCAGTGTGTGGCATGAAAACAGCTTTAAGTTGGCCGGAGAGCTACCAATGTTCTTCGCCGGTGGGAGTGGTACATCTGCATCGTTCACCGCATTTTGAAGTCATCAGTTCAGGGTTTCGGCTACTAACCACAAGCCAGGGTTACGTTGATTTCAGATGCAAAATAATTGGTTACCGGAAAACGGAAGGCATACTGCCCTAGACAATTTTGGACGTGATGACTCATTCAAACACTTCTCCTTAAATTATTTTAGTCAGGTGAAATGCCAGGATATTGATCAGAAGCATACTTTAGGCCATATCCCGAGAACTGTGGAGCCACTATCCACGCGGATAAACCCGATCTCCCACTGTCTTTGCCTATCGACGGACTGAATTCTAGGGTCCATATCCTTCGACGCTACAGTTGTTAAAACGTTTGACAGAAGTTCGCACTGAAACCGCGTTACTGCTATTAGTTAGGTACCGCTTCGGCTTGGAAACCCATCCCGCACGCTATTGGCTTGGAAATCGGGCCGCTTGCCGACAGGTGATTGACTGTGTGGGTGGCACATTATCCAATCACGATGCAGTCGAGTCGGATGCCGGTTGCGCTTTCTAGGAGTCAATAAAAAGGGGACAAGTTTTAGTTGCGTACTGGGCAATTTTGAGCAAATATATGGGGAGCTTTCGATCCATGACGGTTCAAATAACGTTAGGGGAATAATGGGAGTGAACCACTCTTTCTTATCATTTGACGTTGTTAAATGAGGTGTCAAAATCCTGGCACCCCACATCCCACGGGTTTCTGTTTCTGCGGTACGAACCAGTGGTGCCTGAAGACTATGTACAATGGATTTGAAATAAACTACCTATGTTATCGGATGATGCGTCCAGCTAAACGCTGCACCGAAGAACACGGTTATTTGACGGTAACTTAACCGAGCAATAACTGGCAAACACGGTTATTGGACGGTTATTTAACCGAGCAATAGCCGGAAAACATGGTTATTTGACGTTTATGTTGGTGCAACTAACCACCTGTTAACCATAAAAGGCGGTTATTTGACGGTTATATAACTGTCGTATAACCGGGGAACTCGGTTAGTTTGGAGTGCATGTGCTGCTAGGGTTGTTATGAACGCTCGGAATTTATCGTCGCCTTCCAGCAAAACGACAATCCTTTTACAGATCTCGTGCTTGGAAGAATTCGGTGAGGTCGTACCCCAGGTAGAAGTGCTGTTATCAGGATATCTGTATCCAGTTATCGTTACCACACCAGATGGAACCAATAGCGAGGCGTTCGCGGGACTGTGTGATTTTGTATTTCACGGTTTCGTAGCGGTCAAGGGGATGTTCTGTGCAAATCCGAAAAATATTAGAACCGTCGTCCAGCTGTAGCACCCTTTCGCTGCCACCCAAAAGAAGCGCCAGAGTTCGGATACCGCCAGGCTACCCCATCCTAGACAGGGGAAATCAAAGGCAGAGGTCGGGTTCGAACCACGGACCTTCCGGTCAGTAGATTCGGTTAGGGGTGTCAGTGGACTTTTCACTGGGGAGACCGCATGGGGGAGGTATGTGGTGTAAACAGTACGAATGCATGCACTTCATTTAGTACACCACTGGGCAATGTTTGGCAACGTCTCTAACCACTGATGTGCGGCAGCAAAGCATGTGTCAGATACTGATGCTATGCTGTCGATGATGATGGTGTGCCCTGTCTCGGGGTCTCCATCTAGCGAGGTGGCAGTGGCTAGTGCAACTAAATTTGCTGTTAATGATATTCATGCTTCGTTCCCAAGTCATTGATTGACCTCACCAGGCTCTTTTCCGCACTTCGCGTGTTTATGTGTAAAGGGCTCTTCGAGCAAAGTCGGTCGACTCGCACACGAAGCACGTGATCGAACCTATGGATTTTGATCAGTTCGTCTGTCGTGGACGAGTTATTTTTTTTAATGAAAACCGTTCGATGTACCCCTGTATTACTGGTCCGGTTTTCCCATCAGTCTTGGTCAATGATCCGAAGATATTGGTAGTCAAACACTAGGAGATCTCATGGGCTGACTTGCGAAGACTTGAAGGGAGACGAAATGTCGGGTGTGCTCGCACCATGGCGTGGTCGGAATCAAGTGCCTCGAGAATAACGACAGTCTCTAATTGTGGCTGTCCGTCGGTGGCTGATAGCCATATCATCCATCTAGTTCCACGGTTGATTTTCAGTTGGTGGCCGCCAAGTTACGCAATGCTAACGTTTATGCCGAAAGTTTGTACTGGCCAGAAACAGTTGTTGATCAGCACACAACTGAAGGACAGTGATCCCGAATCGACCGCGGGGACATGATCCCAAAAAGCCCATGCGACCGACTTGCGCATTCATATCACCCAAATTTACATAGAGTAAGGACTTTGAAAGCTCCCATGTAAGAAGACGTGTTGGATTTATCGAGATGTTATTTCGTTTATTGTTGATTGTCAGCGGACTAAATAAGACAAATCGGTCATACCTGACACTCCAATGACTCAGCCACGCTTGCTTGTGTGGTGGGAAGTGGTTGGAGAGAAACATCGGTGGACGAAGAACTGTGCGCATAAGTGATACTTCCTGATGACGCGGGCCGGAGAAAGGTGTTTATTTGAGGTACCGCTTAAAGCGTTCAGCTGTAGCACCCTTCCGGTGCCTAGCTGCCATGCCACCCGAAGGTAGCATGAGGGCTGGGATACTGCCAGGTTGCCCAAGCCTAGACAGGGGAAGTCGAGTGGCGGAGATCGGATTCGAACCACGGACCTTCCGGTCAGTAAATTCGCGCTCTAACCACTTGGGCCATCTCGCCCCGCTTACTCAAAGTTCTAACCTGCTCAGCTGCGAGGGGCTGACCACTCCCGAGAGCGCAAAGTTTCTGTTGAGGCTGTGAATGTACCTTTTGAGAAGCCTCAGACTCCTTGGTTTTAGAAATGTTTGAATTAAATATTGTGCCGGTGGTCACGATTAAGCGTTGGGTGAGACTGGACCTTACCGTGGTGTGACGGTTTGCGCACCTCAGCGATCCATTGAGCTATACTGGAGAGTGTCCCGCGACACTCACAGAGTCTCTCA